TGATGGTATAGCCATACAATGGAATCCTACTCAGCAATTAAAAAACAAAAAACAAAAAACTACTGACACATGCAACATGAGTGAATCTTACAGATATTAAGTTGTGTGAATGAAGATGGATTAAAAAAAACACAGTACACAATTCCGTTCATATGAGGTTCCAGTACAGGCAAAACCAATCTTTGGTGACAAAAGTCAGAACAGCAGTTGCCTTTGCTGGGACGGGGTATGAAGCAGAATACGATGGAAAGGAGGGAGCTTTCTAAGGGGACAGAAGTGTCCTACGTTTTGGTCAGAATGGAGGATACAAAATTCATGGAACTATACACTTAAAATTGTTACGTTTGATTAGCTATAAGTTATACCTTAATATGAAAAGAGAAAAAAATGGCAGGACTTGCCTGGTGGTCCAGTGGTTAAGACTTCGCCTTCCAATGCAGGGGGTGCGGGTTCAATCCCTGGTCGGGGAGCTAAGATCTCACATGCCTCCCGGCCATAAAACCAAAATATAAAGCAGAAGCAATATTGTAACAAATTCAATAAAGACTTAAAAAAAAAATTGGTCCACATCAAAAAAATCTTTAAAAAAAAGAAGGCTGCTGCAGGATTTGATGGGGTAGAAGGACTATAGCTCATCACTGTAAAGGTTGCTGGATTCTGTAGAGGCCACACCAACACCTCAGACCCTGAAATTCCACAGGTATAGGATACCCCAAAACCCAGGACAACAGCCCCTCATTCTCAGATCTGGGCCTCTGCTTGGCTGGCCGAACTTAAACTGCCCTGGGGGCCTCGCGGGGACAGGCATATGGCAGCAGGACCGCAGAGGCCTTGGAGGTTGATATTTAGGGAGGTGTGTGGCGCTGCTCAGACAGTCAGCCTGTGAGGGACTTGCTGGTTCCCTTCCCCAGCTTCCACAGCAGGGGGCCGGGGAGGGGGAGGAAGGAGCGGGGCTGCACAGGCTTCTCACAGGGCTGAGTCCGCCTGCAGGGGGAGCCCTGCCAACCATGAGGGATCACCCCGCAGCAGGAACGCTCCAAGCTGTGTCACTGTGTCAGCTCTTCCTACCCACCTACAGGCCTAGATGTGCCCCAGACCCTCAAAGAGGGCCTTTAACAACCTGGATTAGATAACCCTGTAGCTCCCTCTGTCCACCTTAGTAGCCGGCGCCTATTGACAAGTGCAGCTCCCTGAGCATGGGGTCAAGTTAGCACAGAAAATTTGTCAGGATCATCATTCTACTGACTTCCGTGTGTGTGTGTGTGTGTGTGTGTGTGTGTGTGTGTGTGTGTGAAGGGCAGTGACTGTTACTGTTAAAAATATCCATTTTACACAAGGTCAACCTCTTGCACACTTCAGGCTCTTGCACATGGGGCCATCCCCCAAGGCCTGGCAGGCCTCTCTCCCCTCAGCGTTCACTTTTGCATGTCTTCAGGGGAGCCTTCCTTGAGGCCCACCTCCAACCCCTAACCCTCCTTGTCATTCTTCACCACTTTTCTAAGATGATTCCTTCCTTACCCTCCTCACTACAGTGACTTGTGTACTGTTCGCTGTCTGACTTCTCCACTCACTCTAAGGTCGAGGAGAATGGGGTCGGTGGCTGGTTTGTCCTCCACTGCATAAGAAAGCACCTGGCCTGGCACATAGCAGGGCCTCAGTCAATACTGGTTAGATGGACAAATTCTATACCTATTACCCAACACACAAAATAAAGCAAAGCAAACCAAAGCCAAACCCCCTACTCTTGCCCTTGCAAGTTCAGTGCCAAAATGCATGTGAAACAGCCCCAGAAGCCACGTCTCCTTCTAGAGAGGAAGTCTCCTGGAAGCCAGTCTGAGGCAGTTTGTAACCATGACATGCACGTCAGTGCTGAAAAGTGGACGGCCCACGTTTTATCAAAGTACCAATATCTGTGGCCAGAGCAGAAGATGTAGGTCTTATGAAGCTGACCAGGCAAATGCAGTTCATGAGCAATTTCATTCTCTAAAAAATGGACGGTTACAGGAAGCACAGGCTACAGATTCAATGTAGTGAACTGAAAAATGACCCACTTGGGACCATAAAACGAGGAGGGCAGGACACACACACTGACCTGGCAGGTCATCTAGCACACTGTCTGGCGGAGCGGGGGAATGATCCGTCTGCACAGGTGTGCACATGTAGACTACAGCCCAGAACCTCGAAGCTCACAATTAAATCATTTAAAGAAAAAAGAAAAAAATCAGAGCCACACCAGCCTATAAAACACTGGGCCTCGGGCTTCCCTGGTGGCGCAGTGCTTGAGAGTCCGCCTGCCGTTGCAGGAGACGCGGGTTCGTGCCCCGTTTCGGGAAGATCCCCCATGCCGCGGAGCGGCTGGGCCCGTGAGCCATGGCCGCTGAGCCTGCGCGTCCGGAGCCTGTGCTCCGCAAATGGGAGAGGCCACAACAGTGAGAGGCCCGCATAACGCAAGAAAAAAAAAAAAAAAAACAAAAAAAAAAACACTGGGCCTATAAAAGGAGAGGTCAATGTTATCACCAGACGTAACATGACTCCGGAAGAGCTCCCCTCCAAACCCCAACGCCAATCAAAAACAGTGCGCCTTCTTATTCTCTTGGTTACCTAGAAATCTGTTAGACTGTTGGCCCAGAGAATCATCTTCACGTTTTACCCTGAGGGGGGTTCTGCCACTGGCTGCTGAGGGACGTGGATTCAGAGGCACAGTAGGAAGAGTATTAAGCCCAGGGTTCTAGCCTCAGGCCCTCACTTCCTGTCTGTCAACTCTGACAGCCTCACTCAGACTCCCTGAGCCACAGTTTCCTGCCCAAATTACTTAATAAAGTGAACTTTAATAAACAAAGCGGTGAACAACATGCTTACTGTTACACAAGTCACGAAATTTCAGTTGCTCCCTCCATGACATCAGGGTAAGGATTCTGGTCATTTATCGGACACTTATTATGTGCCAGCTGATACGGATAAGCCCTCGTTTTTAGAAAGAAGTAAATAATCTAACAGGTCATAGGTAGAAAAAAAAATAACTCTATATGGCTCTGGTTTTGCTTTCTGTGTTAGGAACTGGAGAATAAGGATAGGAGAGAGAGGAGACAGGGCAATTTTAAACAAAATGCCTTTGGCAATTCATTCCGACTCAATGTGGCATTTTATTTTATTTTATGTTTTAAAATATTTATTTACTTATTTATTATTATTAATTTTTAATGATATTTAATTTATTTATTTAATTTATTTATTTTTGGCTGCGTTGGGTCTCCGTTGCTGCGCGCGGGCTTTCTCTAGTTGCGGCGAGCGGGTCTACTCTTCGTTGCGGTGCACGGGCTTCTCACTGCAGTGGCTTCTCTTGTTGCGGAGCATGGACTCTAGGCACGTGGGCTTCAGTAGTTGTGGCTCACGGGCTCTAGAATGCAGGCTCAGTAGTTGTGGCGCACGGGCTTAGTTGCTCCACTGCATGTGGGATCTTCCCGGACCAGGGCTCGAACCCATGTCCCCTGCATTGCCAGGCAGACTCTTAACCACTGCGCCACCAGGGAAGCCCCTAAAATATTTATTTATTTTAATTTTGGCCGCGTCGGGTCTTAGTTGTGGCATGCAGGATCTTTCGTTCCGGCGCGCAGGCTTCTCTCTAATTGTGGTGCACGGGCTCCAGAGCGCGTGGGCTCTGTAGTTGCGGTACACGGGCTCATTAGTTGCTGGAGCGTGGGCTCAGGTGCCCCGCGGCATGTGGGATCTTCGTTCCCAGACCAGGGATCAAACCTGCGTCCCCTGCATTGGAAGGCGGATTCTGAACCACTGGACCACCAGGGAAGTCCATCAGTGTGGCATTTTAGAATGATCTCTGAGCTATCTGCCAAATTACAAGAGGATATATATTGAAAGTGAACAGTGAGGGCCTGAGTTCTACCTCGTGTTTCTCTGACATCAGCTACTTGCCAGATGCTCAGTGGGAAGAGAAGCTGGGGAGTTGGGGTGGGGGGGTCTCACTGCTGAGAATGCTAAGCTTAGAGTTAGTGCACGGGGTGGGGTCCCACTCTGGTCTTTGCAGACACAGGAGCCTAGAACAGAAAAAGGACCCCCTGCTCACTCCTGGGGCCAGGGCTTCTGACATCAGCCGGCCGGGGAGGAGCAAGGGAACCAGAGTAGGACGTTTTCAGCTGCGCTCGGCCCTCCGGGCCTGGCAGGGGGACGGTGGGGACATCCTGGGTCATTGCTCTCTACCTGATGGTGTGCGTGGCAGGCCTGGCGCAGTGGGTTTCTCTAAAAGCCCGGCTCCGACAACCCCATAGCAGCCCAGGCTCTGCCCACAACCAACTCAGGACAAGTCTGCCCAGTGAAAGTACACAGGACCCTGTCAGACCCCACTGGTGTCTGGAGAAACAGCGGCCAGCGTGGTGGGAAACGGTGGTCTGCCAAAAGCAGAAACCAAATTACACAAAGAGAAAAAGAGGAAGAGCCTGTGAAATAAAAACAGCAAGGAAAGGTTTTGCATTTAACACCCACATTGTCCTACTTTCACTTTCCCAGGAGATGATTCTGTCATCCAGAACCCAGTGCCAAATGTTTGCTCAGAGTGTGTGCAGAGGCCTACGGTCACCGAGGAACTCCAAACAGCTGAACTTGAACTCAGCGCTGCTGGCGATGGGCATGATTGGTGATGCCCTACCTAGTGGGGTCCATGGACACATATCCCCTCAGAGGTGAAGCTGCACCCTGAGCTGGCAGCTTTCACAGCTGCCGGCAATCCAGCCTTCTCAAGCCCTCTGAAGTGCTGAAGTGCTTCCAGGTGGCCGGAAGAACCCTGGATGTGATGCTGGTCCTTCCGTGAGTGACCCACACGCGGCGGGGTTGGGGGAGGTCCTCGAGAAGAACCAGGCAGAGAAGTGTTTGAACAAGCCCCCAACCCCAGGAAGAGCCACTGGCCATTAGGATGAGCACGGCACCTCCAAGTTCTCCGAGGAGGCCGAGGGGGTCAGCTCCCCTGCCACCCCGCCACCGCCACTCACCATGTACGAAGGAAAGATCAGAACTCGTTTGTGCTTGCCGCAAGGCCACTGGGGGTCGTCCAGGAGATTCGGGTCATAGTCCATAAACTCTCCCAGGTCGCTACCTGAGGATCACACGCAAAATGATAACTAGGGCCCGGGACGTCCTGAAGCAGAAGTAGCCGGGTGAACGCCTGGTACAAAGTGACACTGAAGAAAGGGTGGCTTCAGGTCACTGAGCTCAGAGTCGCACTGCTCGCTCTGACCGTCAGTAGGCGTCTCTGCACGCCAGTGAAGTGTATGCCCCGGCAGAGGGGTTCACCAAACACTTCACACTCTCTGCCATCTTTTCCATTTAAAACAATTATGTATTAACCTCCCTGACCCGGGAGAGCACAGAACCTCACGAGCATGAAAGATGCCGTGAACACTCACAGATTATAAAACGTGGCACGGAAAAGGCTCATTTTCTAAACCTGCAGATCGAGTGAGCCTCCAGTTATTGCACGTGAGAAGCACGTTTGGTGTGAATGGTTCCAGGCAGGCTATGTGGTCTGAATGAACGCAAACCAGAGCAGCCACCAGAGCAAACAGCCATCAGTGACCAGGGATGGCACATCAGCACAGTGCTTCTGAACTCAGCACCTGGACAGGCCTAAGGAGCTCCGTGTTCACCTGGAATTTCTCTGACAGTGGAAATAATCCTGCCTCATAAAGCATTTTTCTGCCTGTGCGGATTCTCACAAAGGCTTGTACAGGCCAAGCTGGAAGCATCCAAGTCTTCTGTCAGCAGCTGAGTAAGCTCACCCGCTGTGAGAATCACAAAGGAAGTTCTCACGCCTGATGGTACGTTTATGGCCCAATTACTCGAAGAAAGGCCAAACCTGAGCACTATGAGAATGTAGGCAAGAACCAGGTATTTGGAGAGATGAGCAGCAGAGTGGTGGAGAGAAGCCGGGGAGTCTAGCCATCTCTGCAAGGCGGCATGTCTCCTCGTGGGAGCTCAGGGGCTGGCGACTGAGGCCTCTCATTAAAGAGCTCGCCCCTCGGCAGGGTTGTGAGCCTGCCTGGCCTGAAATCGGCTTGCCCAAAAGTCCCGTCACCTGCAGGATGAGCTCACGCTCCAGGGCACCTGTCTTCCAATGTGCACAGGGAGACCCAAGCCACACTGTCCACCAAGGCACCTCCTGCTGCAAGCTACCCAGACCATCCAGGCCCCAGCTTACCTGTGTCGAGGCTCCCCTGGGTGCTGCTTGCCCGGCCGATGGAGAGGCTGCGGTGGCTCAGGGTACGGAGCTGGGAGAAGGCGGACATGGAGTCTAAGGTGTTTCTCCGCGATCCAAAGGCGTTCGTGGGTAACAGAAACTGGGTATAAGAAACAGTCTAAAAGGTGAAACAACAACGGGCCAGTGATTAACCCCGGGCAGTGTTAGGTTTGCGTTCTGACCAAGCTGCGTTGCCACGCCAAGTTCACGTCCATATTCTCATGGCTGCAGTTCTAAAATCCAAGGTCCGAAAAATGAAATTTGTTTTGGCACTCGTTTGTGCCAAAACCTAGACTGGACTGACTAGAGGCCATCTGTAGTTTTAATTTATCCCACTTGGCATGAATATTCCTGTTATGGGGCAGAGATATTAGTGTGTCTGATAACAAGGTACTATCGCAGAAGCTGCTAGGACGTTGTCTAACACAAGAGGCATACATCGTGGTACTTTTTCTAATCCACCGAGTGCAGAATTCTAGAATATCAGGTCCCAAGAGTCTCGGATAAGGGGCTGTGCCCTCCCACGTTCCTCTGGCAGATGCTTTGTCTATGATGCTCATCTCACTTCATCCTCCCTCCTTCCTCTGTGAACACTCAACCTTCAGGAATGAAGAGGCAACACGTGTTTTTCTTTTCACCCACTTGGAGAAACACGGCTCATACACCCCGACACGTGAGCTCAAGGCCGATGTCATTTGGGCGCTGGGGTGACCAGCTGTTCTGCGGAAGGGGTGACGGGTAGGTCATTTGCTGCCCCAGCAGCTTTACCTACAAGCAAGCTACACTGGACGACTTCCCCAAAGACAGACACACTTGCATCGTCTCCATAAACAGGCTTTTGGAGTGTTTATAAAGACTGCCTGCATCCGGCACAAAAAGGTCAAGTTCATATTTCAACCTTCCCTCCTTAGACTTCAACCTAGCAGCTCAGTGAATTGTGGATGAAAGTGGGATGTGACAGCCCCCTGCTCGGTGGTCACTCTCTCAGGCCGAGGGACTCTTAGCCTCTCAGGACCATGGGTAGCAAAAAACACTGTCTAGTAGTGGGATTGCTGCCTGCCGTCACCACCAGTTAATGCATGTTCAAACCACCTGCCACTCCATCCTGGAACATGCACCTGTGTGCACTCACGCATGTGTGTGTGTGTGTGTGTGTGTGTGTGTGTGTGTGTGTGTGTGTGTGTGTGAGATAAAGTAGTCTCCCCTTACCCGCAATTTCAGTTACTCATGGTCCAAAAATATTAAATGGAAAATTCCAGAAATAGACAATTCATGAGCTTTAAATTGTGCACCATTCAGAGTAGTATGATGAAATCTAGCACCGTCCTGCCCGGGATGTGAATCATCCTTCTGTCCAGCTGATCCCATCCCTTAGTCACTGAGTAGCCATCTCGGTTATCAGATTGACTATCATGGTATCACAGGGCTTGTGTTCAAGTGACCCTTATTTTACTTAATAGTGGCCCCAAAGCACAAAAGTAGTGATGCTGGCAATTCGGATATTCTCTTACTGTGCCTAATTTACAAATTAAACTTTACTATTGGTATGCATGTATAGGGGAAATATGGTATACATAGGGTTCTGTACCACCCAAGGTTTTAGGCATCCACGGGGGGTCTTGGAACATATCCCCTGAGGATAAGAGCCAGTGACTGAACTGGTCAGGACCAGCATTAGTGGCAAAATAGCTGTGCTGCTATTTAACCCATGTGCACACCCGGGATCGGGGACAGGCTGGCGTCACGCACCCAGAAACGTGTCCCACATCGGGTTACCCAGCACGAGCGCAGCTTGTGGTCCATCACACAGCCTCTGCTTCCGGACCCTTGTGGTGTCTGTCAAACAAGCTGGTGGCCTGGAAGCCAGGCAGCCTTACCTTCCCGTCAGCGCCCAGCTCCACGCCTTCCAGGCCAATGATCTCTTTCAGGCTCATGGCTCCTGCTGACTGTCTCCCTCCATCCAATTTCAAATCCCTGGGGGGGACAAGCCGAGGATAAAAATGGTTCTGTTTGCACCCAAAGGAGCTACGGAGATGTCTCCTGACGGGACACTACAGTCACACTTGCAAAAATGACAGAGAGCCCTGCCGGATGAGACCCTCTCTCTGTCCCTCCTTCTCAGCGACACTCTGTGGGTAGGTAGTTCTGCCCACTTTGAAATGAACAAAATCCAATTGAACAGAGAGCCTGAAGACGAGAGTCAGGCTCAGAAGCCAATGGTTTACCGATGTCCCTTCCCGCTCGGCAAGGCCATCGGCTCTTAGCTGGTCGGCTAACCGGAAGCCAGGGGGAGATCAGCTCTCCCTGCCACCCCCTTATTAGATGGGAGAGAGAAATTCTTACCCTAAACAGTTCTCAGCTTTACTACTAGTAACGAAAGAATTAAGGCCACAACAGCCACCCCAGCTTCCTTGCCAGGCCACTTAGACAATGATTATCTTTCTATAAAAGAATAATCTCCAGTGTTAACAGCAAGCATTTATAGAGCACTTCACAATTTACAAAGACTTTCACACATCCTCCATTTCATTCTTTAAAGTCATCCTATCAGACAGGCATTGCAATTATTATCCTCTTTTACAGATGAGAAAAAAGAACCCAGAGCAGGTAAACAGCTCACCAAGGTCACCCTAACAGTGGGCTGTAGAGACCGGTTTTGCATCTAACGCTGTATCTTGTGCAGCACGTGGCCTCGGTCTGGCTGTGCCTCTGCTCAGGGGTAACTGCTCACATTTTCATGCACAATCCCCCTGCTTACAGTAGTTCTCAGACCTTTGCTGCATGTTAGAATCACCTGGGAACTTTGACAAACTACTGGCTCAGAGATACTGCGGGTTCGGTTCCAGATCACCCCTATAACGCAAATATTGCAATAAAGCGAGTCACATGAATTTTTTTGTCTCCCAGGGCTTATAAAAGTTATGTTTACAGTATGCTGTAGTCCGTTAAGTGTGAAATAGCATTATGTCTAAAAAACCAATGTACATACCTTAATTAAAAAATATTGCTAAAAAATGCTCACCATCATCTGACAGTGCAAGGTTGCCACAAACCTTCAATTTGTGAAAAAAAACCCCACAAAAATGCAGTATCTGTGAAGCACAACAAAACGAGGTACGCCTGTACTGTGTCTGGCTCCCATCCCCAGACATTCATTCTGATTCAGTTGGACGTGGGTGGCAGGAGTTTTAAACACTCCCCAGGTGATTCCAAATTGCAGCTACGTTTGGAAGCTCTCTCTTCCAGCTTGGCTCTACCACACGGTGCTTATCAGTCAAAGCCGCCCCAGGCTGGCAGCATCTTGCCGTGTGGGCTGGAGGGAGGCACCCCATTCAGGGGTGTCTCCTACAACCTAAGCAAGAATAAACAAAATGTAAAGGCAAGACTCTCCAGGCCAAAGGTGAAGGAATCATGGAAAGAGAGAGAGGGAGCCGGGTGAGAGGCAGGGAAGAGACAAGAGGCCGCCCCCTCCCACCTTCTAAGGAGGAAAAAAAAACTATTCTCTCACTTTGTTGAGCAGTCATCCTTGACTATGGGCGTCCCATGCGTGAACTGACTCCCTAATCCTATCTAATTAGTTTCCGTAAGAAACACCCAAGACCTGCATCTAGTAAGTACAATATTTTCTAAGGTAGTCTCCTTGGGAGGCCAAGGTCGTGTCAAGCTCAGGATTTCTCTGGAACCCCTTTTGGAATGAACACTAACGTCATGCAGAAAACAACAACAACAACAAAAAACAACCAACCCATTCCAGTCTTCAAACTTTATATGTATATATACAGTGCATGTGTATGTATGTGTGTTTGGGTGTGTATATATAATATTTTTATTTTATTTATTTATTTTTTGCGGTACGTGGGCCTCTCACTGCTGTGGCCTCTCCTGTTGCGGAGCACAGGCTCCGGACGCGCAGGCCCAGCGGCCATGGCTCACGGGCCCAGCCGCTCCACGGCATGTGGGATCTTCCCGGACTGGGGCACGAACCCGCGTCCCCTGCATCGGCAGGCAGACTCTCAACCACTGCATCACCAGGGAAGCCCTATAATATTTTTTAAAACCTTGAACACTTACTAGCTGAATCAGTGTCCCTCCATCCCAACTGACCAGATTTCACTGCAAATGACTTCAGGTATTCCAAACATCAAATTCACCCCTTAAGGACAGTACTGAACAGGACAGTAACCCACAGAATTGCAAATACTTCGTTAGAAGGTGCAAATCACCCCCTCGAGAGCCCCTAAAATGTCCTGAGCAACAGAAGTGCTCTCGGGATGTGTCTGAGTTCTCCCGCAGGGGCCTCCTCTGCTGGGGCCACACCCACCGAGGGCTCTGAGGTCCAGGCCGATGTGAGTCATATCACTTTATGAACATGCCATGCCAACAGAGAGACCTGATTTCCAGTTATTGGCCTCAAATCCAAAACTGGAAGGACCATGTGGGCTGGAGCAGAGCAGGGCTCAGCAAGGCCACCAGAACCTCAGGACCTCAGGTACCCAGACCACGTGCCCAGCTGCCTCACCTCCTACATGAGCCATCGGGGCAGCTCTCAAAAGACTTCCTCAAGCAATTAAGGATGGAGACGATGACTGCACCAGGGCAACTACCAAAGGGAAATGCCTTCAGAGCAAGAAGCCGACAAGACATGGAGGCAAAAATAGCGGTGGTGGGAAAGGATGGAGAGGCCCAATGGCGGAAGACCAGGGGCTGAGCTGGTACAAAGAAGCAGAGCCTGGCCTTTGGTTAAAGGACTCACGGCGTGCTTTTGCGGACTTACCGCTTTTCCAAAGCCTAACCCAGCAAGCACGTGCCTCAAATTCCCAGCTCCCAAAGAACTGTCTCCTTGTTTCCACTTCATCCAGGTGGAGAATGTTATTTAGGACTGAAACTAATACAAAAGCAGGGAACATCTTTATGGGATGAGAAGACCAAAATAAATAAGGAGTATTAAAATAGGCCCCTATTAAGAGTGCTCCTGTTGAAAAAGAATAGATACATGTATATGTATAACTGAATCACCCTGCTGTACACCTGAAACTAATACAATATTGTTAGACAACTATGCTCCAATACAAAAATTAAAAAACAAGAGCGCTCCTGGATGGAGAGCTGGCCACAGGCAGGTACAGAGTCTCAGTCCATGTCTGTATCCTGTCTACTTGGTGTCTGATGTGGGAAGATGCTTAAAGAAGTGCTTACTGAACGGAGCTAGTCTGACTCTTTGCTGGTTCATAAAGACAGCACAGAAGGTGGGTGTTTTTCCATCGTGCCCCTTTGCATCTGTCTAAGTTTGCTCCCAGGCTCACTGCTTCCCTGGGGCAGCTTTGCCTTTGCCTTTGCCAGCTGGCCCCTCAATACTGGATGCACACATCCCAGTTCACAGAACCAAACCAGCCACCTTCACTCCACACTCTTCTTTTTCACTCCTCCCCCCGTGGGAAATGGAGCCATAACAAAAGTTATACTTCTTGTGCACACATGAAATGCAAGACTCCTCTCCGTGAGATAGACCCCAAGTCCCATTTAAAGGAACAGATATTCTTAGACTGTCCAAGCACCTCCTGGACACTTTGGACCACACGGAAGAGAAAGCGTTGACGGGCAAAACTCCCCCACCCCTGACTGCGGGCACTCATCTTTTGAGAATTACTGTGCCCTTCTGCTTATTGCAGCCACCCTTCGTGCTGGCGCTTCGCTTGTATCTTTCTACTTTCTAAATAACTACGGCATGCTGAGAAAGAAGATAAGCCAGGAGAATAGTGCATCCACCCTCACCGGCTACTGAGAAAACACACACTGCTTATTATAGTCCAACAGAAACTCCCACAGTGAGGGAACCTCCTCCGTCTGAGCTGTCCCACAGGGCATCCACGAGCCCCAGGTGGCAACGGAGCACTTGCAGTGTGACCAGTTGACTGAGAAACTGAATTGTTAATTTTGGGTAATTTTAGTTAAAATTTAAATAGCCACATGTGGCTACTGTACTGGACTAATAAGTCAGCTTTTTTGCAGTGGCCTGGCCACTTTCTTCCCATTGCCTCTGGGGATGTCTCCATCCCAGGCCCCAGCTCACAGAAGAGGTCCAGAGTGGGCGGGGGGGGACAGAAGCAGGACCCTGTGGATGGAGCCAGAGCACACCAATGAACAATGAGCAACGGTGCTCCCCAAGTTCACAGCATTCCAGGTCCTTTGTGCAACCTGCAGGGGAGAAGGGGGTGCCCAGCGATAATTAAGTCTGAATTTCCCTCCAGCCTTGTAGAAGGGAGTTGATATTATTTATGTTATGTAAACTAAAAAAAAAATGCTACATTTCTTGTACACCAAAGCTGGTGCACCTGTATTGGTTACACTCACATTTCAGAAACTTCACTGACTTCACTGGTTATAAATAATCAAAACTGCTCTAGAAAATTGACTGCTTCGTGGTGGCAGTTGAGGGCACACTTTTCCATTTTTTCTGCCTCAGATTCAGGAAGGGGTTGTTACTAACTTCGGGGCTGCCGTTTTGGCGGCATTGAATTAAGAGTGCCCACGTACACACATCCACTTACACAGCCACGTGTGCACGGAAAATGAAACACATCAAATCTATTTCCATAATGTCGGTCTCTTTTAACAGCTTTTGAATTGTATATATTGAGACTCTTAGGATATAAAAAATACTTCTTTCCAAAGAGACTGACAAACTTCTCGAAGTGCCTTAGCTAAGTGCTCTCATAAGAGTTGCTGAAACGTATACAGTTGGCCCCCCGTATCCGCAGGTTCTGCATCCATGGATTCAACAAACCTCGGATCAAAAACATTTGGAAAAGAATTCCAGAAAGGTCCAAAAAGCAAAACCTGAATTTGCCCTATGCTGGCAACTACTGACATAGCATTTACATTGCATTAGGTAGTCTAAGTAACCTAGAGATGATTCAAAGTATGCAGGAGGATGTGCGTAGGTTATATACAAATACTATGCCATTTTACATAAG